GCGGATTTTTGTCTGTCCGTCTGTGTGTGTGTGCGTGCGTCCGTTCGTCTGTCCGTGCATCCGTCTTCTCATCTGATTTTCTTTTGATGGGCGCGGTTTTCAAATCCTCGTTGCGATGATAATCTGCTGACGCGCGTCTGAAAGAGACATACTTAATTTATGTAAACGTTATAATGAATAAGCTGAATAAAGGCGTCTTCGCCGGTATCGTGGAGCAGTAAGTGGTTTAATGTGACTGAAAGAGGTAGCGACACGTGCATTTCGAGCGCGCGTTTCCTACTTCACACCAGGGCCACGTCTGAGACTAAAGGTATTTTATCAATTTCCCTAAAGTCGGAGCAGCCACAGTAGAGTGCACCTGAGTCACTGTGTGTGCTGTAGAAACGTGTCCCTCTAGCTTACGAGTTCCAATAATCTTCTGAAAAAGAGAAAAAAAATCACGGCATATTCATGGAGTGAATAATGATGAATGCAACGAAGCGTTCGTCTGTCTGTCTGTCTGTCTGTCTGTCCGTCCGTTTGTCCGTACATCCGTCCGTCTGCGCCTCGCCGTGATGGTCTAGTGGCTAAGGTACTCGGCTGCTGACCCGCATGTCGCGGGGTCGAATCCCGGCTACGGCGGCTGCACTTCCGATGAAGGCGGAAATGTTGTAGGCCCGTGTGATCAGATTTGGGTACACGTTAAAGAACCCCAGGTGGTCGAAATTTTCGGAGCCCTCCACTATGGCGTCTGTCATAATCATATGGTGGTTTTGGGACGTTCGACCCCACATATCAATCAATCCACCCGTCTGTCCGTTCGTCTGTCTGTCTGATACTTCCGGTTACGCCTGATGCAAGACAAAGTTAGACAGAGAGGAGCTCTGCCCTTACAAGTTGCGTCACTTCCGTACTACTCTTTCCAATGCAGGGTGGTTAGCTACTACCTTTGCTTACATTTGTCCAAGCCGCTAACGAAAACGTTTTTGTGTAAATCTGACCAGGTTACTGTAGCAGAGTGAAAATTACAAGGTGTGCAAACCACATGCTTTCACGGCTAAACATAGGTCTCAATTTAATTTGCTTTATAAATGGCAAAGCGTTCGTTGGCACAGGGTGCGTTAGAATGATACCTGATAGGCTGATCCCACATCGCAAGTAATACGCCTAGCGCCTTTAATTACCATATCTGTAGCCACCGATAATTGTGTTCACGAAGCAACATGGCCGCACCGATGCACACACGACCGCCCGCTTCGAGTCGAAGCAATTCTGTCTACTTGACCACTAAATAAACAATGTAATCGGCTGTCGCTTTGTCATATCGCGTGAAGGACAAAGTGTCAAGTATATCTCGACCTTAATATTGGGTTCTACTGTTCGCTAAGCTGCGCTTGCTAAGTCTAACGCCTTGAGAATTTGATCATGGTTCATTGAAATATCTTAATGTGTACCCTTTAACACATCGATGCCGAAGCGCCATGTGTCACAGGTCCCGTTAATTCGGGAAGCGATCGCCGGGCTGATTCCAAGGGCCGAAGTATCGGCCCCCCGAACCGCACCACGAAAGCGTGAACAATTTAGAAGTGGTCCTATTTGGCGCGCCAGCGGACGCCGGCTGTGGCCCAAAGAACAAGTCAGAGCCGAGAGTTGATAAACAAAACAAAATATATTCTCAATTATGGCAGATCAAAACGATACACAAGTATGCACACTCGACAATAGTTGAATACAATATGTCACCAATCAAATAACGTACTACGCAGTACAATCAGCCACACTCGAAACAACGGACACAGACAACAATACGCACTACAATGCAGTCGCATGCACCGGACACCCAAGACACTTAGACTAAAGAGTTAGAAAACTTATTCAGTCCAAAGTTCTTGGAACAAAAGTCTGGATGATACTCTTCCGAGAATCACTCACTCGAAGTCCAGCGTTGTTGTCGTTCTGCTGCCCCCGAAGTTTCTCTTCCAGGTAACCACGCGTCTTCAATTGGTCTCTCTCCAAGCACCAAACTTCTTCACCGGTAACACGTCAGCTTCCCACGCGCAGCTGTTGCCACGCGTCTTCACTCGCTAGCGGTAGACACACACTGTTGCCTGTAGCTCGAGTCTTCACCCCTCAGGTGGAAATCTTCTTCTTCTCCTGCTTTGTCACTGAGGACAAAACCTTCGCCGACGACACGGCGGAACACCCTACGCACTCTGGCGCATACTTTCTTCTTCTCCTGCTTTGTCACTAAGGACAAAACCTTCACCGACAGACGCGGCGGGATAACCCCCACGCACACTGGCGCTAACTTCCTTCTTCTCCTGATCTCGCACCTCTGCTGCGCGGTTAAATACTTTTCGCGCGAGATTCCAGAAAGTTCTTATCATTTTGTCGGCGCGATACGCAGCGAAGGCTGGGGAAAGCGCGAGACGGTACGAGAGCCGTCCGCGAAAGATGACGCAACCCTGCATCACCACGCCCCTTTCCATCGAGAACTTTCTAGGGCTCGCTCGGCCGCCGATGTGAGGAGGTTCGTCGGCGAACCTATGCTTCCGAGGGGAGAGAGACGCGCGCCCGGGGAGTCTTTGGATGCTTGGTTTCTTTTTTTTATCGTTGACCTCGAGGCATCTCTCCGGCGCTTCGTCGCGAGAATTTGGCGGCGCGCCTTTTTTGAGCGCTCATTTTGTGACACCATGACATAAATCTAAAGCAAATACATGAGCCACACCAGGACGACGTGATAAACTTGAGGCGGCAGGCACCCGCGTCGATGGGTGTAGCAATGTTCTGTTTTTTTTCGGTGGTGTCGTCTGCTCGCAGAACGTGTGCGCGCAGATGCCATAGGGATGTTTAGCGGACGATGCAGCGTGGGTGAATACATGTGGAGGGCCTTTTAGACCGTCATATTGGCTAAGGGACCCTGCAGCTTCCACAATTGTGAAGGGGTCTTCTGAGGGAGAGTTGTACCTAAATTCAAGGCTGACGGCACCAACTTCGACAAACGCCGTCATGTTTTCTTTTTAATTATTATTATTATTATTATTTTGCCTTGCACTGCTGCCGCCTGCTCGCTTTACTCGCTCAAAAAGTCCGCACAGACGCCATGGGGGCGCCAAACAGACGATGCTGCGCCGATGAATAAATTGCGAGTGATTTGCGGTCTTCTTATTGGCTCAGCAACCCGTAGCATCTGCAGTGCTGTGACCGATTTGTCAGAATGAGTTTATAGGTTGAATTCCGCGCTTATATGAATCGAGATGTCTTGTTATTTTTAAATCACTATGCTCAGTAAGCAATGTGCTGTTTCGGGCAATAAGATCTCACTTCTGGGAACGAGTAAGAGCATTTGCGATGAAAATTTATCGTATACGCGAGGTCCCGTCGCACGAGCCATCCACGTTATGGCACCGTCATACTGAAAACTAACACCTCTTATTTTCCTAAAATTGCGTGTCACTCACGTTGGCTGGTACTCTTGTCCCTGCTTGCGTCCATTTCTTCAAAGGAGGGAGGAAGAGACTGAGAGCGGCTAGAAAATGCTTTGTCATGACGGGCGTTGGTAACGTTATGAAACTGAAGCGTTGGACCGCTGCGTGAACCCAGCATTTTACTCCAAATTCGCCGCATGTCATGATGTGCTTTCAATCTTGAACTGTATTGACACCAATGTTCAATATCTGGCCCCGATTTTATGAATTACAAGCAGTAATTTCACCCACCGCGGCCAAGTTGGCGCTGGTAAGCAATTTCCAGAAGCCAAATAGTATTGTTTGGGTCTAACGTCTCAAATGCACCATATAATTAGGATGGATGCCGTATAGTAGTGGGCTCTGAAAGTTTCGGCCATCTGGTGTTCTCTAATTTGCTTACGCGTCAAAATACCCGGGTGTCTAACATTACGCCTCCATCTAAATGCGGATGCTGTGGCCGGGATTCGATCCCGCGACCTGCGGGTCAGCACGTCAATCACAATAACCACTGGACCAACACAGGTGTAGACGAAAGCGTTCGCAAAATCGTACACAGCACCGTAGGGGAGACACGGAAGATATACCACGACGCGCTCATCCCTATATTGTCCTCGTCTGCTCGCGCCGTGAAAATATTTCGCGGCGTATACGGTTGACTGCTGCTGCTGCATTCTATGTGCCGTATATACGGGTTCATAAACATGCGACGCGTTTAATCTACCTTATTGCATGCGGGAATGGTATCTTTGTTAGCTTACCAACTTGACTTTATTAACCGATTATTACAAAGTCATGCGGTTTATGGACGGTAACTTGAAATACGGCCAATGTTCGTAACTGTGACATTCTGATTATTACAAAGCCATGCGGTCTATGGACGGGAACTTGAAATACGGTCATTGTTCGTAACTGTGACATGCTGCTCCTGTGCGTAAGAAAGCGATGTTCACTACACCATCGCCTTCTTCCTGTCCTCCTCTCGAGGGCTCTACTTCGGCAGGCGAGCCCTGAAGGGCGTCATCTTCGAAAACGAGCGCGGATTTGGGGTACGCCGCTATCACCTTCTACGAAGCATCGGGCCAAAGGAGTCTGCCGGCTTTAGCTCACTATCTGTCATTGCGATAGCTTGCTGATTACACTGTATGCGCCTTCACTTCCATGCGAGCGAGTGGCAATAACCGTAAAGGCGGCACTGTGCTATCGATAACGGGTGCATCAAACACACGTGGTGTTACGCTGAATGACCGAGCGCATTTGTCAACGCTCCCAGGCCTGACGCGATGTGCGAACAGAGAAAGCGTAGATAGCGAATCGTAAAGATTCTCGAAGCACGCCGTATTTATGCATGAGCGTATACTGGCTTACGTATGGCCGAGCCGTTCCGCCGTGCGCGGTTGGGGTTAGTTAGTTCGGGCCCCGCCGGCACATAGCACTCGCCTCATCCGATGCTGCTTTTGCCTTCCTTCGGTGGTGTCCAGTGTTCGATTCTATCGAACTGAATTGAACGGACCTGCCAAGTGTACGCACTCAGTCTTGGGTCGATTCCTGCAGGGACAGCGGCGTGGCGATGGAATCCTTTTGGACCCGACACCTGCCGGCGTCCGTCAACAGGCAGCTGCTGCCGCTGAAGGCGCACTTCTTTCTCTACCTCGCAGGTACGTGGTGTGCGCACATCCGTGTGCACGCGTGTGTTAACGCGCATCGTTCGTGCGCCTCTACGCGAAGTCACGTGCCATGCCGTTCATATGGTTTCCCTCGTCTGCGCCAGCCCGTCCTTGACATGGCCAGGACAGTTTCTGATACGCACGAATGCAACTGATTTAATTCGATGAGTATATTTATTAAGTGCATGTGATTTTCGTGTTTGTTGAAAGGATCGCTTGAAATGTACCTTAGTGCAATTCACGTGGAGTATTGTTCTCTTGAACTGGCGTAGCCGACGCCCTCAAATCACACATGAGTACTTAACAAATGTGCATATCCGCTAAAACTTCTGTTCTTGCTTTCTTACATTCATTGCGAGTCTTTATTCCTTAAAGAAAAAGCAAATCTGACCCTTTTTACCTTCATGTATTGGTGTAACGGGTTTACGTGTATACCATCTACAGAAGGAAGCAAACAGAAAGAAGGTATATGGAGGTTAACCAGAAAAGCTTTCCGGATGGCTATCCTACAATGTAGTCCGTTTCCACTGAAACTAGGCAAGATGAATCTCATCGGCTAAATACGATTGATTACGTGGTTTCACCGTATATAGCGTATGCAGTATGTATATCTTCCGAGGCAACGAAAGTGCGCTTGGGCTGGAAGTGATAGCTCATGTGAAGCAAAACGTAGAGGCGAGCGAGTTGGTACTGATCCATAACAACGTGAATGTAGCGGGAAAAGACACGGACAGGAAAGGGTACACCACAAGTGCTTACTCGCAACTGAAAGCTTTAAATTCTTGAACCGAAATTATGTAACACTTACACTTGGTGCTCAACAAAATCCCGCGCATGCGCATCACGGGCGAAACAAGAGGCACTAATACAAACCAAGAACATGCTTGTTGGAATAATCGCTTAATGTGTGCTGCGTGGCATATCAGCGCTTTATATGTAATAATACTATCTAGGGTTTCACTTCCCAAAGGCACGATATGATTGTGAAAGAGGCCGTAATGGAGGGCCCCCAGAAATTTTGACCATCCGGTGTTCTCTAACGTGTGCTGACATTGCACAGTACACGGACATCTTATCATTTCGCCTCTATTGAAATGTGACCGCCGCTGCCGAGGTCGAACCCGCAACCTTCGAGATAGCAGAGCACCATGACCTCTGCCTCACTGCGATGGGCGCATTTATTGACAAAGTCTTGACATTTGACAAAGTCTTGACATTTATTGACAAATTACGAATTGAAATGTATTTTTTTGGTAACTAGCCAGTGTTTGAAACAGTCGCACATTAATATTGTTACTGGAATGACGGTGCAGTAGACTGTAGTCTGTAGACTACTATACACGTTTTATTTGTAATAGCGATGGCAGCACTAACCGGTTCAGCTCGGAGATCGTGCAGAGAGAGAGAGATCTTCCATCTTTTCGTCCGACGCGCACGCGCATAGTTCAAAACTATGCGCGTGTTCAAAACTATGCGCGCATAGTTCAAAACTATATGCGTTCAAGACTGGCGATATGCAGGCAACAATATTCGACCATTACAGCGACTAGAGGCGGCGCAACGGTGCGTCGAAATGGCGGACGAGACGGCAATGTCGCGAGCGTGCACATCAGCGTCGCAGAGCGTGAAGACGCGTTCATTGGCTCATGACTACTGAGAGACCGCCGCACTGCGTCGCCAGATTATCACCGTGTGACAGCTTCGGAGCACGACTGCATGACGCCGCCTGCGTCACTCGAATGACCGAATACTGTCTGTTACGCTATGCGCTTCGGGAGCACGCACAGCGCACCTTTGGTATTCGCCGGGGCCCCGACGTGAGTCACCACAAAAAGCGAGGGCAACTATAACTATAGCAATAATAGACGATGCTCTTTCCTTATTTACGGTCCTGCGTAGCTGCGTTAATTGGGTTTTCAAATTAATACTTTTTTTTCATTTGGATGACCATTTCACGTCATGTACCTTCGCTCTATTATTTTTTCTTTCTGTTGCTCGAAACCTGCGCCATCTCGTCTCTGATGAAAGAGTTGGTAACAAATTCACAGCTGCTGATTTTGGAAGATGTTCAGCGATATACGGCTGTTTCTCTCTAACGATAGCGAGGGCAGCGTACATCAGGAATCATAGCTTGCGATACGATAGCAAGAGCTCTACAGCGAGTGCTAATCGCCCGACATCACGAGTATGGAACAACTGGCTTTTCACCAAACTAAAGTTCACTGCGTTGCGCTATAAAGATGACACTGTCGTAACACCGCAACCTCCCTGATAATAGAGGACTGAGTTACGTATATTTCCAGTTTGGCCCGAAGGGCCATCTTGCTAAGTTATCGTACAATAACATTATAAATCGGCCCGCCACGATGGTCTAGTGGTTAAGCCACTCTGCTGCTGACACGCAAGTCACGGTATCGAATGCCGGCGGCGGTGGCCGCATTTTCAATGGACGGGAAAGCTTGAGGCCTGCGTGCTTAGATTTAGGCGCACGTTGAGGAACCCCAGGTGGTCGAAATTTCCGGAGCCCTCCACTACGGCGTGTCTCATAATCATATTAGGTTTTTGGGACGTTGAACCCCAACAAATATAAACCTGATGAATCACTCCCCAATAAATTCTGTACCACATTTTTTGTATTTTTGTATGTTTTGTATTTCAAGGAAAGTGAAAACGTGGCGCCGATGGGGGCAAAATGCGAGGGGGAAGTGATTCTTAAATGAAAAGAAGATAAAAGTGAGCACCGTAGCTGTCTCTCAGGGGGAGGACACCTCAACAGTAGCTCACGAGGGATGGGGGTAAGGAGGGATGAAAAGGATAGGGAGGAATTAAAGGTATAGATATAGAGAGAGGATCAGGAAGAAAGAGAGGCGCAGGGATAGCCACATATGGAAGTAAGAAGAAGATAGGAAAGATGGATATGGTCGCAGGAGTCCGATAGCGGGGTACCACTCGGCGAGAGCTCTTGTCGGCGTCAGGAGATGGCGTAGGGCGAGCCAGTCGGCCACAGCTGTGCTGTCGTCGGAGAACGCTGGGGCACAACCGGTCGGCACGAAATCTAGCGAGCGAACCCGCGTACGAAATGTTAGACGCCCGTATTATGCGACGTCAGTGCTCTTCAAAGAACACTGGATGGTGAAACTTTCCGGAGTCCCTCCACTATGGCGTCTCTCATTCTCGAGCGTATAGTTGTCTTGGAACGTAAAGCTCTAGCTATTATTAACATAAGAAACACTTGGCCGCTATGTAAGCGTGCTGAAGATAGATGTTGTGATACTACCCTAGTTTAAAAAATTCGGCTACATTTTAGTCTCTTTGTGCTTGCGCGCACTGGAACCGGCGAGATAGGCTCCCGCCCCAAATTTCGGGTGTGCCGTGTCTTTGCTGGAACCGGTAGCATTCCTCATGCCTCGTAATCGTTCTTTCTCCCCTTTCTCTGCCCCGCTTTAATTCTGTGTCTTTCTTGTTCTTTTTTCACGGCTCGTCGAGCGCTGAGCAGCTGCAGATTGAGTTCTATTCTAGTTAACCTCCCCGCAAGTCTCGCACTCCGACTTCGTTGGCGCTCTCGCGGGTGCATTCTTAGACAGAGAGAATATTAAATGTTGTTGCTTATTTGTGACTACGATAGCTGTTGACTTGTGTGGACAAATCAGGGTGGTACAAGCGACTCTTACATCTTTTATATTGCGAATGTAGTGCTAGTGTTTATCTGCGAAGGGGCGAACGAACGCAGGGATGTGCGAGTGTACGTTGACTGACAAGCGCGTCTCATACAAACCATCTTGATTTTTCCCCTCTTTCTTTTTCTTAACCATGTGATGGTTTCCGTGTTCCTTAAGGGTACACTAAATGCAAATAATCAGTTATGTCAGAGTGAAAGCTGAGTGTATGACGACGTCTAAAACGATGATATAATTACCAGAAGTTCCCTACTTATCGAGGAATTAACTGAGTGCACCACGCGATGGGCACTACGAGGGATATTTTGGACATGATCCCGATGACATGAGAGCGTCCGACTACAATTAATCACTAATAATCAAACTAGCTACAATAAGGAAAGGCTTCCGTGCATCAAGAGACGTAATAAAAAAAGAGCCACATAGCGGGGCCCAGTTGAACCAAGCACGCCTGCCATCTTGAAGGCCATGGCAGGCAATTGTACAGTGCAATGGCTGTTGTTGCTGCTGTGGCTCCCGCTATTTTCGCTCCGCTGCTATAGTGTCGCTGGCCGCGCAGTAAAGCCACGAAACCTTGTGCCCGCAACACTCACGTGACACGGACTACATTCAGGCGGAGCTTTTGAAGTTTGCTTTTGAACTTTGAACTTTTTAACTTCGAACTTTTTAACTTCGAACTTTTTAACTTTGAACTTTTTAACTTTGAACTTTTTAACTTTGAACTTTTTAACTTTGAACTTTTTAACTTTGAACTTTGAAGTTTGCTTTTTGAGCTTTTGAAACGCGATGAGGACTACTATTACGTAATTTTATTTCAAAATAAGCACTTTATTCGCACAAAAGTAGCACTACGAGGTTTCTGGACCGCTGTTTCATCAATAAATATCGACTTCATATTTGCCTTTATTGTACTATAAACGACCTGTCACGCCTCTGATAGTGACATTTTTTAGAAAGCTCGATAATAATTCTAAAATTCTTTTCCATGTGTCACCACTTGCACGTTTTCCGGCACATTTGCAATGAATAGACTTTCGTATAGAACCGTGCTTTGTTCACGGAAGTCGCCAATGGAGCTTTTCTGCTCCGTATGCCATATCTTGCATGTGACGTCACGACTGACGGCTGATATTTAGTTCCCTGTTTAGGCAGGCGACTCGCTTTAAATCTTATGCTAACTTGCATGACGTCATAATTTAAGTGCAACTCTGGCGCATCAATGCATACATTGGCTATTCTGACTGCGTATATCAGCTCGGGCGCCGAGAGTCTCGTGCAAACTGTTGAACCACGTTTTAGAACATTTGAGTTATAGCTGACAACCTGCATGCCGTTATTCGTGTTTTTCTTTTCTTTTGCAAACGGCTTATTTGCATCCGCCGTCATCGTACATGTATTCGACATGTTTCAATACTTTTTAGCAATCCACGCCAATCATTACGGAACTTTCACAGCAGCTAGCAGTTGAGTGTATGTTGCAAGTCGTCTGATGTCGCAAAATATTATGTTTTTCTTTTATCTTTCAGGACAAGCTTGCGTGTTCCCTTACCTGGCTGTGATTGGGCGACAGAATGGTATCAACGCCGCCACGATCGCCATCATCTTCTCACTGACGCCACTGACCGCCGTCATCATAAAGCCCGTATGCGGATTCGTCATCGATCGGACGCAAAACGCCACCGCCGTCATTGTCTTCCTTCAAGTCGTCTTGGTCATCTTCCACGGGATTGTATTCTGCAGTCCCAGTATCAAGGCCCACTCCGATAGTTCGTTCACCGGCTACCTAAACTGCAACTCTAGTCAACTGGTGATATCTAACTCAAGTTCAGCCTCTTGCGTCGTCTCCGGTGCTCGTGAAGGCTCTCCGTTTTCCTGCAACCTGACCGTGTTCGATGATGCCCGATCAGTGGACGTCACCGCCACCGGTGCATCGGACACCGTTGTTAACTTAAAAGGCGTGTCTAGCATATGTGGCAATGTATCTGCTAGCGGAAGAGTCGCCAATGAAACCTACGCTGTACTGCGTTGTCCGTGTGATACCAGTGTGTACAGCGGCAATTTTTGGATCTACACCGTATCGGTCGTTGTCTCGTGGGTGTGCGCGGCAACCCTGTACACAGTTACCGACGCTGCCGTTTGCGAGCTGCTGGGCGACAAGGTGAACGTCTTCGGTCGCCAACGTCTCTGGGGCACCATTAGTTGGGGTATTGTGAGCCCGTTGATTGGGATGATGATCGACGAAGCGAGTAACTCCACCTACACAGACTACAAGCCGGGCTTCTACGTCTTTGTGGTAGTCATGCTTTTGGACATACTCCTTCTACTGCGTATGCCCCGCCTGCGTACGGCAGACTTGTCCCTGAACTTGTTCAAGGATGTCGCCACCCTGTTCTGCAACGCCGAGATCGTGCTGTTCACCGCGTGGACATTCATAGTGGGTGCCCTGATCGGTGTCCTCTGGTCTTTCAGCACGTGGTACCTAGAAGACCTGCACGCCTCCAAGCTGATGATCGGCCTTAGCAACACCGTGATGAGCCTGTGCGTCGAGGTTCCGCTCTTCTTCGTCTCAAACACAATACTCGAGCGCATCGGGTACTTCTTCTCCTACTCGGCCGCTTTCCTGACGTTCTCGATAAAGTTCATCGGCTACTCGTACCTCGTCAACCCCTGGTACGGTCTCATCGTGGACATACCTGGCGGCGCCATCTTTCCTCTGGCCTACTCCGCCATGACTGTGTTCGCCAAGCGGGCTGCCACGCCTGGCACGACAGCCTCGATGATGTGCATCTTGGGCTCGACTTTGGAAGGTCTTGGTGAGTGCTTTCTGTACTGTTTAGGATCAGTAGTGGGCACCGGTCTGCCATAATGGTAGCATGCGAAAGCGTGCCAGCCTAGCAGCGCTACGCTGGCAGTGTGAACATGGTAAACTAAAGGTCGATTCGTTGGTGACCGGAAGCGGCAACCCTGATCCGTAGATGTTCTCCTCCTAACTCTATACCACAATGCAACACTCTGCTTCGACGAGAAACCACGAGCTGTGCTATCTGTGCCGGCGGCCACGCTTCCCGAGTGTCATATTTCAATCCGTGAGTGCTGTACGTGGCCGTGGCGAGGGTAGTTCGAAAAAAAAATTAAGCATTTATAGATCGAATGGTCGTAGCAGATGGGGCCATAATCACACAGTATAATGTAATGAAACATTTCTGTCACGGTTACACCGTGGTTTCTGTATACAGGGTGTCCCGAGCCAAGAATTTGAAAATGAAAGACACTTCAGTGGTGAAATGAACCAAACCCGCACTACTTGCACTAGCCTGTAGGCTATTTTTTATTTCTCCCCAGGCTAAATTATTAATAATTTAATTACCTATTTTTAAACTATGGGCTGGATACCCAAATATGAACACTGAGATGTAGAGCACTTCCAGAAACCACAGACAAAATTGTTTCCTGTCTAGCGCTGTTATTTTTTTTTTCGCGTTGTAAAGAAAGCCTATAGCAGCACTATAGCAGTGCGCTCGCAGTTCGTCACAGGGCTTCTTTTCACAATTCGCGGGCTTTCTTTACAGCGTGGAAAAAATAACAGCGCGAGACGTATACAGGAAACACTTTAGTCTGTGGTTTATGAAAGTGTTCTACATCTCAGTGTTCGTATTTTGGGTTTCCAGCCCATTTTTAAAAATTAGGGAATTAAGAATTCTTAGTTAATTAGTATGGGGATAAATAAAAAATATCCTGAGTACCTACGGGCTAGTGCGAGTAGTATGCGTTTGGTTCAATTCACCTCCTAAGTGCCTTTCACTTTCAACTTCTTGGCTCAAGTTATGTGAGACACCCTGTATATTTTGATCAAAAGGCGTAAAGTGTGCATTCGTAAGTAGTGCTTAACGATGCATCTGCTGAACGCCGTTTTTTCGGTATGGTTATTGCGAGTTATAGCGTGTAACCGGAAGTGTGTGGCTCTGCTATTTGGTGTTACAATGAGCCGTGCATGCACTTTTACATCTAGCACAATGACTGACCTTATTAAATCTTTATTTTTGTTGCTGCTTCTTTCAATAAGTACAGTGTCTGCCCTGTTCCTTTTACATCTGAATTTAACGACCTCGCAATACCCTGTTAGTCGCATACCATAGAAGCACGGGGCTGCAAGGTTAGTGTCGCCTGAGGCGGGACATGTTCACTATTCGCGTTTAGAAAAACTATATTGTGTTCATAGGCTCTATTTCAGTCCAGTGGTTAAGCTTGTAGTATTTTACTTTACATTTCAGGCGTTGCAGCCGGCAACATGCTGGGTGGAATGAGCATCGACAGAATTGGCGCCCGGTTGACATTCCGCTACCTTGGCTACGTTTCTTCCGGGTGCGCTGTTTTGTGTACTCTGAGCTACCTGTGCCTTCTGCTCCTGGGCCGAGGTCGTTTAGGTGAGCATCATGTTGAGAATTGGTCGCACTGGTAGTCAGCTTTCACAGTTACTGTTTTATCTCAGAGAGCCGGCTGTGTATAACTTCGGGAGCAAGAGATGTATTCATGCCGGCTTTTGATTGCGGTATAAGATTGCCTCCTAGGTCTTAGTGTCACATTTATGCTCTTCTTTCGTGAAACTGTTGCAAATGAAGAGAAAACAGCTCTTCTGCCCAGTACATGCTGCTGAATTTTGAAAAACCTGGAGTATCTATCTATCTGTCTATCTATCTATCTGTCTATCTGTCTATCATCTATCTATCTATCTATTATCTATCTATCTGTCTATCATCTATCTATCTATCTATCATCTATCTATCTATCTATCATCTATCTATTATCTATCTATCTGTCTATCATCTATCTATCTATCTATTATCTATCTATCATCTATCATCTATCTATCCATCATCTATCCATCATCTATCTATTTATCCATCATCTATCTATCTATCCATCATCTATCTATTATCTATCTATCTATCATCTATCTATTATCTATCTATCATCTATCTATCTATCTATTATCTATCTATCATCTATCTATCATCTATCTATCTATCTATCATCTATCTATCTATCTATCTATCTGTCTATCATCTATCTATCATCTATGATCTATCTATCATCTATGATCTATCTATCATCTATTATCTATCTATCTATTATCTATCTATCATCTATTATCTATCTATCTATTATTTATCATCTATCTATCTATCTATTATCTATTTATCATCTATCTATCTATCTATTATCTATTATCATCTATCTATCTATCTATTATCTATTTATCATCTATCTATCTATCTATTATCTATTTATCATCTATCTATCTATTTATCTGCATGTCACATGGACCCTACAATGTTCGTAAACGTTAACATAGGCTATCCAGTTTTATAAAAACATTACTTATTGTCACGCGGTCCTAACGTTGACAAAGGCAGCAGCCGACGTGTCCAAGGTGAAACTTTTTACTTAGCCGAATTTGTGACTGGGCAACAGAAACCCATTTCCGATCATCTTGGGATCATCTGTTAGGCTTGAGCTCGCAAACGCGAACAGCTGAGTTTACAACGCAGTCACCTCCCTCTCCCATGCTTTTCGTAACATCGACTCGCAAGTTACGTGCGAGTCTTCCATTTTCTTTCTGTAGTGTACCTTCAAGCCACATAAGCAGTTACTTACATCACTCATCCCAGCCGAAAAGTGACTTAATTACTGCAATTTTATTAAAGTCAAGCCTTGTGTCCCGCCCTGTTGTCTTTACGCCAGACTCCTCGTGCAGGGGCTACAGCCCAATCGGAGAAGCTCCGCCTGGCGGGGGCCAAGGGTCACGAGCCGACTGAGGAACGGTAGTGCCCAGCAAGTGTGACAGTGCTGCCAACAATGAATGTGTAGAACACACTTACTTCTGACAATCGGTCGTGGGTTACGATCTGTGCCTGCCGCTTGCTGCTGTCCAGGGAACAGCTGTGAGGAGATATCCACCTGATCAACCATCGCCCTCAAAGGGACCAAGGATCTTCGAGGGCATTGAAAGGATCTATACCACCAGTACTCAGTGACGTGCTATTCACGGCTTGTTAGCTGCTGAGAAGCCTGTGAACTCAAACCTTCGAATACTATATATGGATGCGTGCATGTCACGTGCGTGTGGTTTTCACGGCATGCCTTGTCTTGCCATAACGTTTGGCATATCTTACCATGCGAATGATTCGACATACTTTTCTGGGGAATCGCTGCAATGATGTTGGCAACTGGGCAAACGTCGCTCTCGGAGGAGGCCTCGGGTCTTCGAGGACACTACAGGAATCTGTTTCATTACTCGGTCACTTCTATCAGCACCATGTGAGCCGTTGAGACACCTCTGAACGGAAATTCAAGAATGGTGTTTGGCTGTGTGCGTGTATTCGTGCCTGTGGTTCTTACTGCATGCCTCAATATAATATCTGGCATAAGGTATCATGCGAAGGTACCCCATCCATTTTACATTGCCGAAAAAAAAAACATGTGCTGATGTGTCACACTGTGTGCTTTAGCAGTATGTGCTTATGTGCTGTGTTGGTAGTTTCGACTTGAGTTATGCAAGTTCCTTTTCGCTCAGTCCAAGTCTACATTTTTAATGGCGTGTAAGTTTCGTGCTCGTTGTTGCAAGTACTGTAGATCTATAAGATTGTTATATTTTAGTGGCATGAAAAGTGGAGCTATGTTGCTTTCGGCCCGATCTTGAAATTTCTTTCTATCATCTTCTAATCCTTTCTGCCGAAAAATGATGTCCTTTCGCAAAATATGGGCAAAACAGTTCTTCTATACATCTAATTTAAGCTCTATAGAAATGCATATATCGAAGCTCAGTGCAATCGAACTACTCAGGAAGACAGGAGACATGTGAGAAGATGATGCCTTTCGTCGTCCTGAGACTTTTGCTTGCTTCTAAACTCCAAAGCACGCTAGAACAACTGGTCCAACATTGTGTTTTGCTGAAAAGAAATTCACTATATGTTCGTAAAACGACTGTCGCCTCTGTTTAATCTCAACAATGATGATGTTAAATGCGAAAGAATGGTTGAATGACTGGACCTCTCTGGAGCTTGCATTTCTAAAAAGTGAACTGTTTCCTTCGACTGGTCAAGTGTACTTGTGGAAACGTGCTCTCTAGCGACCTTGGCTGTTCAAATATTTTTCATCTTTCTGAAGCTTCAACTGTACCTTTTGACTCTTGTCTTGTTTCGATATCAAGATACCTTACTTTGACCGTTTAAAACTGCCTGTCGCGGTGTTATGTGCGCATTGCATATATGTACTGTGCGTATTGAGATTGTAAATTGTGTATATAATGCGGTTGATGAGGTGACGTGTATTTTATAAGGAGTCAGCGATGTTTGCTTTCCGACGCTAGATCTTGCGTCATTGAGTTTCCGACGTGTCCTGATCGTTAAGAATTCGGCACTGTCGAAGCGAAGAAGCCTAACGAAAATTTCGGGAATAATAAGAGTGAAGTATGATATTTTCGTTAGTTGTTTAGTTGTTGGCACGTTTGCTCTTTTTTTTTTTTGTGCGGGAGTGCAGCTACTTGTCTAGGCAGTTATATCAAGTATTGAGCAGAAAAATCTCGCCTACGTCATGGACATTTAACTGGGTCTGACTTATAGAATCTCACTTGCTCTCATGCTTTATTCTTTGCAATACTTGCCGATTTGCGTAAACAATTATTGGAGTGCGTCAGATGAACCTTCTTTAGTGCATAGCCACGCTCGAGAAATTGCGACGTTGGTTAATGGGCAGGTGCTTTTGTGTTAAAATCTTAACTCATTTTTTTCATTGTGTATAAAAAGGAAATCACCAAGGCTGAACGTTTTTTTTTCTGCATCTGTACGAAGTTTTCGTTTTTGTATTGCTCACACCTGCCCAACGCAGCTTTTCTTTATTTTACGGCAGACACTTGTTTGAATGCTTAGTTAACCTACTTTAGCATTCCTTTGTACTAGAGCTCCGTATTTGTGACGTGCTTTGTGTCTAACGTTTATAAATGATATTGTTTCGCGCGTGTCTACCTGTTAGATAGAGATGAATGCGCGTTGTCTTGAAGAATCGCTTGTTTCTAAGACTTACGGTTTTTACAGTGTTGTTAACTTGGTGAACTTAGTGACCAGGTTCCACAGTCATCCTTTTTTTTACATTTCGTGTGTAAGTTAATGCTACGTTTTCTTCCCGAGTGCAGCTGCTTTACTATAAGTGCGTGAAAGTTTAGCACTAAATAAAGATTCATTTTTCTTTGGAGAATTCAAGCGCCAGTTTTTGCATGGCTGCACCTCGGCTTTAGTTTCTGCGATTTTCTTCCAAAGGGCTCTCTTCCAATACATCTGTCCACGAACCCTTGCTTTTGCTATCTCTTTTACTTCTTCACATGCCCTCTCCACATTTCTAGCAAACTGGACAAAGTCCGGCTAACTACCTTGCATCTACTGCTGTCACTCACTCTCTCTGTCAAGGCTGGCGTGTAGTTCTTCGACAGTGTCATTACTAATGTCACGACTTTGTAGGGCCGTCACAGACTCTTATGCCATTTCATTCTCGCACATCCCCTTTTCCTTTCCAAATTACAGGGTAGCCAGCTGGGGATTCCCTCTGAACCTTTTTATCTCTCTCTTTCTGTCTCGTACACGCGCTCTGAACAACCTGTTGCGTCATTTAGGAATTGCTGCGAAAATCTATCTCGAAAATTGTTTGGCTGGAATTTAACGTTCGAACATTTGAGAACGTAAGAAATTAAGCTTACTAAATAAATCTTTGCTGAACAAAAAATTCACAGCATATCCACGGAGTGAATGGTGATGAGTGAAGCGAAGTGTCCAGCCGTCTGTCTGTCTGTCCGTCCGTCTGTCCGTCTGTCTGTCTGTCTGTCTGTCTGTCTGTCTGTCTGTCTGTCTGTCTGTCTGTCTGTCTGTCTGTCTGTCTGTCTGTCTGTCTGGCGACGAGAGTGAGCCGTTTTAGCGCATGCTTGGCACAAACATAAAACTTTTGCCAGTATGGAGCAGGTCGTCGCATGTTTCATCTTTTGGCGCGACCTTGGAGGTGCAATGCTCTTTGGTGGCACGGTTTGGGGCAGCGCCAATCTCTGATGGCGTCCCGCACTATGGACGATCACTCAGACGCACTGGAACTCTAGAGCATTTCGGAATGGAAGTCTACCGCTACCACTAGCACTGCAAAATCGAGCTAACGCAGGAGAACTGCGACGAACGATTCGCGCGTGCTTGCAGTTCAAGATCTCGCTTTCGAAGCAGGGAGCGGTCAGCGGGGCCTCCATTCCGACCGCAGAGCTAGTCTTGGAGCCAGTACCGGAGCCGGGCGGGTAACAGAACTGCCGTACCGATTCTTGGCCGTTTGAGTTTGCGGAATCTGAAGGAAACCAGTCGGCAATGCCCAGGCCTAGGTGATAAGGTAAACTTCACAGATGTGGTTAAGGGCACGCTAGACGCGGCGCTCAGGGAGCGACTGCCTCAAAGCCATGGCACTTCCTACCTCATCGTTATCTCCAGACGCAATCCAACTCCCAGCGACCCCTTTCAAACGAAACGCAGTGACTTCATCGGTGGACGCACATATAAAAGAGGCACCACAGAAATTCGCCTTCTGTGGGCACGGTGGACCCGGAACTGCCATGGCACTGACTAGAGCCTGTTCTTCAATGTGCAGAGTATTCTTGGATTCACTGCGGTATCAACCACTGCTTATGAACCACACGTCAACCATTGTTCTTGCAATGTACGCATGTGAGCCATCGGCGGCGATATGGCACTTCCTACCTCGTCGTTATCTCCAGACGCAATCCTGCTCCCAGCGATCTCTTTCAAACGAACCGCAGTGATGTCATCGGTGGACGCACATATAAAAGAGGCACCGCACAAATTCGCCTTCTGTGGGCACGATGGACCCGGAACTGTCATGGCACTGACTAGAGCCCTGTTCTTCATTGTGCAGGTTGGTGCGAATACTAGTTCCTTGCGAAGTGATTATCGTGGTGTTGTGGTCCTGCCGTGCCCATAACGATGTCTAGCTATGGCTTATGAGTGTCTATTTGTGTGCAAACTGCTGCTTTGCAGCGGTGTTGAAATTAATCCTGGTCCTACTCAGGCATAAATGCTTAAGCAGCTAGTTGATGGGCTGGCTGCGCTTCGTAATGATATGCAGGCGCTGCAAACGCATTTTATGAAAACGGAGAAGCTGGTTCTAGAAGTTCACGATAAGTTTGCGAAAAATGCAGACCCAGATCACTAAAACAACAGATAATCCACCAGCAACGAACGATAGCTTACAATCCATTTAACGTATTATTACATTTCAGGCTCAAAAGCTAACAGATCTTGAGGGTCGTAGCCGGCGTTCGAACATAATAATCCATGGGATACCCGAACTTCCAAACGAGACAGAAGATAAGCTGGAAGGTAGAGCAGTCAAGGGTGTATTTAATGACAAACTAAATGCACAGTGTCAATCCCTTTGTCGTATTTCTAGGCCAGGCAGGCAAGGGGACCAGTGAGCCATAATTGTATATCTTCAGAATTTCAATGAAAATAAAGAAATACTTCAGAATGCTCAAAAATTGAAGGGAACTAAAATTTTCATTCAGAACGACTATTCGCAATTCGCATTAAAGAAGCGCAAGCTTCTGTGGGAAGGTGCAAGAAATGATAAGCTTCAAGGGAAGAAGGTGTCAGTTATACACGACAAACTCGAGGTCGACAAGCTGATCTATATTTTGGACGAAACGCAAAATAAACGCGTACGGGCTGCGCAAGGCCCCACTCGGCAAACAGAAGCATGAAATAGCGCATATCGGTGAAATAAGCATCTACGAATAACGCATGTTAACGCTCGAAGTGTCTCAAATAAAACAAGTTCGCTTTAGGTACTGTTATGGCCCCGATATTACAGTTATTACTGAGACTTGGCTTCGTGAGGAAATTAACGACCAAGATGTGTTTTCCCCTTGCTACAATTTTATCGAGTAGATAGGTCTTCTAGGAGATGGGTGTATGACAGTCCTAGTTAAAAATCAGGTTGAAGCTGTTGTTCTGGAAATTATACGCTTGTTGGAAGTCCTGTGCATTAGGGTATCGCTTTGGGGCTATAGCTTTGTACTTTTTGCAGTTTATAGGCCCCCTGACGCCGCCCCTGATGTTTTGCATAAATTATCCTGTATTATGAATTAATACTTGTGTAGCAAGGTTATATTGTTGGCGACTCTAATTTACCGGGTATAGACTGGGTGCACCTTGACTCTGGGCTTCATCACAACCGGGATGTTAACATACTTTTTGATATCACGTTAACCGGACGATCTTGTGCAAGCTGTAGTTGAACCTACTCGCGTGCAAAGATCTTCATCATCAGCTTTAGACCTGGTATTCTTTGCTCACAAGTTTGTTAATTCACGATGGTTGTCGAGCCCGGGCTATCAGATCAATATCTTGTCTATATTTCATTGCTGCTTACTTCTTGTAGCAAAACCGATAAATCATTTGCCCATTCTGTCAAAGATTATTCTCGCGCAAATGACGCATGTGTGATTAATTACTTAGGAAACTGCTTAACTGATTTTGATTAGAAGAATGTGAACATACTTTGGACTCACTTCAAAGATATGTGTCATTTTCGTCTAAACAAATTCATACCCAATAAAAAAATCGAGTACACAAGCAAACACCCTGGATCAATCGTAACATTATTCATATGAAGCGCAAAATTAAGCGATTGAAGAAGGCACATGAGCAGCCACATTTATATATCAAAATTACAAAACGAGCTCGCGCTTGCAGTGCGTAATTCGAAGGTCTATTACTTTACCACGTCCCTGCCCAATTTCATTAAAAATGATCCAAGTAAGTTTTGGAATTACATTGCCGAGAAGAAAAAAAACAATGTCACAAATGACTAGTGAATCGACAGATGGTTACTGATAAGCTACAACTTGCCAATCACTTTGATAAGTTTTTCCACGGTGTTATTCTAATTCTAGTGATTGTTCACACAACTGTAGGCGCCGCAACTTTCTGATGCAAGTTTTGTATCGGAACCGGGCGTACTTGCTTTGCTGCTAAACCTCAAACCCAAAAGTTCTAGTGAACGTGACAGTATCCCTAATGCGTAGATATGCGGTAAATTTATCAAAATTTCTTGTTATACTATTTCGTAAGTCACGGTTGCTGTCAGAATTACCGAGTGACTGAAGGACAGCCCGCATTGCACCAATTCATAAGAAGGGAGATCGTGTTCTCGTTGAAAATTACCGTCCATTTTCTCTAACCTCGTCATGTTGCAAACTTATTGAACATATAATCACAAACAGCATAACTACATATTTAAAGATGCTTTCTGTTTTAACTAAGTATCAGCATGGGTTTAAGAGGGGGCATTCGACCGTCACACCGCTGATCACTGTAGTTCATTTTTTTTTTTTGCGTCAACTCTTGACAAAAATGGACAAATTGACACATTTTTCTAGACTTCCGAAAAGCTTTCGACGCTGTCCCTCACGATAAATTAATTCTGTAACTTGCAAACGCAGGAGTCCCAGGATTGTTATTTCTTGGGTTGCTGCATATCTGACAAACCGGTATCAATTTGTGGAAATTAATGGTGAAAAATCGAGCTCACTTCCAGTCACATCAGATGTGCCGCAGGGCAGTGTCCTCGGCCCTCTCTTTTTTATTATATACATTAACGACATTGCTAATATGGTTGAAGGTGGTGTCCAGATTGAATTGTTTGCCGATGATTGCGTGCTTTTTAAAGACGTTAATTCTATTAACGATCAAGTTAGCTTACATAATAGTTTAAATAATATTCTTGAATGGTGCATGCACTGGGGAATGGCACTATATAGACACAGACAAAAGCGTACTAATGCGAATGACACATAAGAAGTCACTTTTGCTTCATACGCATAAATTAGGTTCATCCCCCCTGCATGAAGTAACACAATTCAAGTGTCTAGGAGTCACCTTTAACAACGCGTTAACATGGAATGACCACATCAGTAAAACTTGCTCCTTTGCCTTCAGAAAATTATGCCTCCTATGCACGAACTTAAAAAAGCACCTTCCGACGTAAAACTGCAATGCTATGACACCTTAATCAGAACCAAACTAGAATATGCATGTATTGTTTGAGATCGGTGTACAAAAACTAATATCAATAACCTCGAGCGAGTGCAGTTCATGAATACTTATTACAAATAAGTATGCATGAATTGCGTTCTTGGTGTTTAAATTTTTCTG